TGCGCACGGCAATAATAATATAACGCGCACCACTTTACTCCTAGGTTAGAGGCAATTCGAGCGCGCGGAACCGCAATAACAATAATTCATTTTCTCCTCATTCGGATTACTTAAGATAACTATAAAGTCCATAAATTGCGTGCCGGGCACCGCGTAATGATGCTGCGGCCAACGCTCCACAAAACGGCAAACTTGCGCGAGGAGGTTCCGGTGGAGAAATGTCGAGAACGCAGTTTGAGCGGAAGGTACACGCAATATGATAATAAATTTCCACTTGTGGCGTTGTTCCACTGCGGGCATTTACATAAATAGCAATTAACGAAATTGTGCGCGGTTGATTTACCGCCGAAGTGTTACTAGCGACCGTTAGAGGGCGTAACTACCCTATAACTCAAAACTAACCTATATTCTCACCAAAAGCATAAAACTGAAACAAATAAATTTAAAATTTTTATATGTTTTCTACGGTAAACAAGAATATCAAAGTATCATCTCCAAATATCGAAAAATCTCCGTGTGCTCGTTTAATACGTTTAATTTATTGATTTGTTTTCGTGAAGAAACGCGTTTCTATTCGCTATCTCTTAGTTTTCGTCCTTTGATGATGAAATGACAAACTTTGAGAATAAAACCTTTTCACATCCGGTGGAGTAGGACGGAGGCGGAATGGAAATAGTCCGAAAGTAAGGCAGAAAGCGTTAAATTAAATCACATCCAAGATTTGCGGGCCAAAGCGCGCATAAAACACAAGGATGAAGCTTAGATTTAGAAGACTTCCAGGGACAAAGGGAGTAAATTATCGGAACTAATCGGCTAATCGACACCACGCCGATGGAATAATCTCACAATTGAATAGATTTACGCACATCTACGTCCACTTTCAATCCAATTGCAAAATTTCATCGAAATAAAAACGTTTTACATAAAAATCATTTTTTTAGGTTTTTTTATATAAAATCAAAGATAATTACGCGTTGTTAAAACAATGTCAGTCATGCTTATCTCAGTCTGGTGTTTTTTTACCTTTTTGCCCGCCGTCGGGGTTTCAACTTTCAAAAACGTAACACAAGTCAACAATCCTCGTAAACCTTTTACACCCCTTTATCCCGCGCAAAAAATTAAGAGTAAACACGCTGAAAAAACTCTTCAGGTAGCCGCCAGCATGGTTTTGACCCTTTAATTTTCAGCACAACCGACGACAAGGTTGTTTTTTTTGTTCTCGCACACTAAATAAGTAATTTTCAGATTAAAAGCCTAAAGCTTGAGATTAAAACTCGGCAGGCTTTTAAAAACGCCTCCCCAGACGTCGATTAAGTCAGGAGCGGCAAACAAAAAACCGGACACACTCCTAACCTTGTTCTAACACGTATGCAAAAAGTTGGTTTTATGCGTGCAACTTTTATAAGCGACGACGGCGCGGTTGTTGTTTGTAAATTTTTTATTTATATAGTGCCCCGAAGAGTATTTTTTCCGGCGGACGCGAAAAAAGATTAAGTGCGGGGCCAACGGCTGATAAATTAAAGCGTCCACGGGGAGGAATCGTATTTTAATACGGCCATTATTATGAAAGAAAGCTATTCCAACATAGATAACGCTTGATTTATTAAAATTCCACAAAATTACAACGCAAAAATAAATAAATTTCACGTGAATAGTTTGAATTTGTTTATTGAATGCTATCAAAACAAAAATTTCCTCTGTAATCTAGCGATTAGTAATAAATTACCAATTACACCCCGTGTGCATTGAAAACATTTTGATTGAAAATTCCAGCCAGTGCTTTGGAAAAATTGCAAAACGATTTAATTTAATGCTTCGACAGTTTCGCGCCAAAGATAAAAGTGTTTCATGCACGGGGAAGAACATGTGGGTGAATTTACAATTTAAATTTACGAGACGTGCGACGTGCATGATGAACGCCGGGGGGCGGCAATAGGCAATACGGAAATGGAGAGTGAAAATTAACACCGCGGTGCTATAAATAACGGCGCGTCACGGCAACGAAACGCGCGTGGGACGAATATGGAAGAGTGTGCTGACAGTCTGATGCTACTCCTACCTTTACATATATGTGTGTGTGTGTGTGTGAGTCAGGGGGTGTAATTTTCATTGTGCTCTATTTCGGGAGTGAAACGGATGGAATTGTGGGCTTTCTGAGAATGGTATGCGCGTAAGGACATGTGAAGTGATATTAGAAAGCGAGGGTGACGGTGGTGTGGTGCCAAGGCCGTTTTGGCTTCGTTTTAAAACGTGCGATTTATAGCCGTCGTCGAGATGGGCTACTTATTTCACATCTCCTTACTGCCTAAAATATTTCTACACGGAAGAATTACCTCGGGGTATATATGCTAAAATTTGTTCTTTTTTTGGAAAAAATTTGTCTTTAAAATTTACATAAATATGAATAAATAGTATATTAAGTATCAAGTGTGCTAAGTGGAACTTTAACCACGGGTAGTGACTAAAACCCGTGACTAAAGTACTTTAGTCATGGTTTTGGCTGCTTTTATCGTAGAAAAAGTGGAAAAACATGAAAAACAAAATTGTGCGTTATTTATTTGCTACAAAAATGCTACTAACAGCCGTTAGAGGGCGTAACTAATTTACAACTCAAAACTAAGCTACAATTTTTATAATTCTGGTTGTTTTGATTGAATAAACACTAAAAATTCACCTATTTTCCACAGAAAACCATAATTTACGTCTTAAAACTTCAAAATAATTTTTTCATCCTATTTTCCTATTTTTCTGTAATTTTAACCCAACAACACACTTTAAAATGTTAATTAACACGGCTTCAATTACCCCCTGCGGGTTTTTGAAACTTTCGTTTGGCTGCTCTTTACTCTTAAATACTTTGTTGGCCCGTTTGTTGTGAGCTGGCCGAGTGAGTGCACTTGCGCACTCCAACACTATGCTAATGCGGAACTTTGTAGTTTATAGTTTGACGGCTAATTAAGCTCGAATTAATGCGGCGCGCTCGGCGGGCCCTCAAAGTGGGTCATTAGCAGCGTGTAGGCGCGCATATCGCGAGCGAGCGCGCGCCCACAATTTCGATTTCGGCGATTTTCTATTAGCCGCACTTTGCCTGCCAATACGTTACAATCGAATAGCGCGCCGCATGGGGGCGCGCAAACTTTTAATTGAAAATTTGCCCGCGAGCGCCAAATGTGCTTTCGACACTTTCCGAATGGTTGGACAATCAACAATAACAAACTACTCGGCTAAATTTCACTCTTAATGTGAACACAATTGGGGAATATTTCATTTTCAAGTAGCGCCATCTATTAATCAAAAGCTGCAAAAACTTAAGTTTCAGGTGGTGATAGTTACGCGTGTCGTGAAAAAGGATTACACGCGGATTAAGCATCCGTACTTGGCAGGATGTTGAAAATTGGGTGTACGTCCAGCGTATGCCCGAAGAGTGACAATGCCGTCGCCATTGGTGCCCGGAAGCGGTCGTATCCCGGGCAGCGCGGAATGAAACAGGAAAGGACGAAAGGAAGGAGACCCAATTAATCCGCGCATTAGACGATGACCTCACGGATGCGTGCGTCTTCGGGCTGTAGCTAAGCGACGACTACACTGACCATTTTGATGCTACAAGGACTAAGGACTTAAGGACGTCTTTAGAATCTTGGATTTTGTCATTAAGTCATTCTGTCATACTCCTACCTGGTTTTAGGATGGTTCAATGGACTTTATACTAAAATCTTCATAATTTCCGAAAGTCCAATTATTGATTAACACGTTACAAATCACACAATAATAGATTCAGGATTAGAATCGTAATCAATGAGCTTTGATTCTCAATTATTAAATTTTGACTTTATTGGGATTCTCGAAGCGTGGAAATGAAAATCATATAGATATATATTCCGCATCCTTTAACATCGATTTATCTCTATATCTGCGTTGGCGCTAATGCTGGCCGATGGGTGTAATTTATGTTTCTGGCCTTTTCTGCGATTTAATTTATTTTATCAACGTGTAAATCAATTTCGTTTATTGCGGAAATTTTCCCCACGACCTTTCGCTGGTGTGTCGTGCCGATGGCGCGCAAGGATAATAAATCTTGAATTGTCTTCTCATCTGTAAATTTCGAAAATATTTACGAGCAATTAATCCCTCCTGTGTCGGCGAATTCGTGGGGCCAAAGTCCTGCTGACGTTTCTCTGCCAGAGTTTTTCACGAACGAAATCATTACAGCAACAATAATAAAAAAACATTGAATTTATTTGAAAATAAAAATTTCAAGTCACAAAGGAGAAATTATAGAATAATATTTTCTTGAAGGAAATTTTGTAGAAAATTGAAGAGTTCAATGTTTTTGTTGAACATACTGTGGGATATTAAAGGGTTGATGGAGGAAAGAGAAAGAGAAGTCTGGGGAAAGTTTTGAGAGAGGGAATGTTTTATTTCAAGGTGACACTCGCAGCGATAATAAAGTCCTCTGCAGCGATAAAACAAAACACGCAATAAAGCACCAAAGCAGAGGAATTAAACCAGAGCAAAAAGCCTAAAATATTAATGCTTCAAATTTGGATTTAAATTGAATAAAACTCAAACAGACAATGTCAGAATATTACGCTTGTATCCAAAACCAAAATGTGTTTGTAAATCGACTGGGAGTCAGCCCCAAATAGGAAATTCATTGTTTATCGACGGGATCGACTCCTCCCAGCACTATTCCAACCTTTGAAGGAGACTGTTGCGAAAACCCTCTTCGTAGAATGATAAACTACGCAGTAAAACGAGGAAGAAAACCAGAAGCAGACCCAAATTCAACCAGACATCAAGACAAGTCAAGGAAACACTAAACAGAACACAGACTAAAATCTGTTTGTAAATTTTGAGGTTATATACGAGTAGGTTAGAATCACTTTGTTGTATGGTAGAATTTAGTATTAGGAGGCAAACGACGAAATAGAAAATAATAAATCAGTAATTTCAGATGCTGGGGTGGTGGAAGGATTTGCGTGGCGGTTGTTCATACTCACTGGATGACTGCGTGCTGGAGCTGTTGGTGGCGGACGCCGCACGATAGTACGGAGGCGTGTCGGCCTTCCCGAGCGGCGTCAGCGTCCCCAGGCGTCGCGTCACGTCCGGCGCGGGCGGGAAACGTTCGTCCTGCAAACACACCAAACACAACAACACCATTAATAACCAGTGCAAATTAATTCACAAAGATTCCTCAATCACACAAAATTTTATTTAAAAAACTAGCTTTTACCCTTACTTCCGGTAGTGTTTAATAAAAATGTAATTTGTTTTTATCTCTTGTTCTAGACATAGTATGTGTTAATTCTATCAATAAGATTCGCAATTTTATTTTGAAGAAATTAATTATATAAAGAATTGCTAATAATACACTTCAGCGCGCCATCTCGGATTCAACTATTTAACTATAACTATGATTGAATCTCAATGCCAACTTTTATTTTACAGAAAAACGCTGTTTTTAGGGTTTTCCCGGCAATTATTCGAATTTTTCTTGCGGTAAAAACCATTCTTGGACTTTAACAAACATTTTAAAAAAAGAATTGGCCAAATTGATCTAAGCGTTGTCGAGTTATGCGCTTACCAACAAATTTTTCCATTCATTTTTATATTATAGATATTATTCATCTCTATTAAAATTATCCAAAAGGATTATCATTACACTAAATACGCCAAGACTATTAAGGATATTAAAGACGTTAAAGAGGGTTTAGTGCTGAAATACCACGCGCGTTAAAATACCTCACCTCGCACCTGTAATGGATGCTCACGACGACGATGCACACGCGCCTCAGGTTGCGAGCGCTTGCAGAAATTTATAGAGACAAATAAGAGAGGTGGAACGTATTAATTTAACGACGCCGACGCCGACGCCGACGCCGGAGCGTCTCGAAAACGCAATGCACGTGATGATATACTGCCGGACTTGCCGCCTTCATTAATGCCCTCCAACGACAGGGCAGCAGGACAACAGGACAAGACAACACGATAATTGCACATGCTGCGCATAAATTATCTCCAGCAAAGTCTAAGCAACAATTACTGTCTAATTTAACACTAAACGCATAAATTTCTTCTATAAAATGTCAATTTACAACATATTATATATAATATACATAACCTCAATGCTAAACTACATTTGAAGCTCTTAATAACTTTAGGACCATTGTCGGGATTCTGCATGTTGCCTAACTTGGTTTGTTGCGGGAATAGTCCTGGGATTCATGTACGTATGCACTTAGTGGCTCCACTTCCAGCTCAACTCCGTCGGCGACAAGGAATGCTCGTGTGTGGAATGACGCATGAAGGCACACATCAAGGACCATGTTAATTCCGTGGATTCGCTGCGCGATCACAGCCTAAGTGACGCAAAGTGGGAAAACTAGTTGTGCGTCTTTATTTCATCGTCAAATGTAGTGATAAGTGCTCATCGCGACGATAACTAATGTTTGAAGATGCAGTAAGATTAAATTGCTAACTTATAACAAGTTTATAGTTAACAGTTTGAAACTATATGCAACCAACATTACATTTACACTTATTTCAAGTGTAAAAATGACTAAAATATCTAAAATATTACAAAACAAAGTTTTTAAGTCGTTTTTTATCTCGGGTGTTACCCCAAAGCCTGAAAGGATGTATTGTAATGGTGTTAACGTGATGAAAGCAAACGTACATGTCAAGGACGTGCGGCTAAGTGCCGGAATTAAGACCGCAGAGACCGCAGTATAAATCATTTCTTCCTGTCTTCCACCCCCGAAAGGATTTTCTTTCTATTTATTGTCAACTCGGTGAATTGTACTCTCAGCGGTGTAAGCTTAAATCTATTGTCTTTTAATCTCGTTTCGCTAGTGAAAATTCAGCAATTAAGTTTTAAATTATGTGCGGCTTCAGTGGGAAACAACATATTGGAAAATATTTGACAAATTGCCTCGATGCTTCGATTTATAATTGGAATTGGATGCGGAATGCGCTTTCTCCGTGCCCGTAATGATTGGAAAATGATGTTGGCCGCAGCCGGTCGGTGGGTGGAAAGTTGAAATTGCTAAAATTGACTCCAACTCACTAAATGCCTCACGGATGGCAATTCAAGCGGCGGGCGGAGGTGCTTTTTGGAAAGCGTTTAACGTTTCGGGTCCCACAATCCGTTATTTTAGTTCATTTCGACTTTGGTTTATTAATCTCCGTGCGGTTTTCGAAAATTTCATCCGAAATTAAACCATCCATTGTTCAATTTCCATCTACCGCAATATATTAAACAAATAAAATATTTATTAGGTGTTTAATAAAAATGTAATTTGTTTTTATTCTCTTGTTTTAGACATAGTATGTGTCAATTCTATTAATAAGATTCGCAATTTTATTTTAATGAAATTAATTATATAAACAATTGCTACTAATGCACTTCAGCGCGCCATCTCGGATTTAACTATTTAACTATAACTATGATTGAATCTCAATGCCAACTTTAATCCTATAGAAAAAAGCTGTTTTTAGGGTTTTCCCGGCAATTATTCGAATTTTTCTCGTCGTAAAAACCATCCTTGGACTTTAACGAACATTTAACAAAAGAATTGGCCAAATTGGTCTAGGCGTTGTTGAGTTATTCGCTTACCAACATATTTTCCGATTTATTTTTATATTATAGATTTGATTACTTGTTTTTCGATGGAAAATATTTATTTGCATAAAATTCTCACAAGATGCGATAAAAAATTGATTACATTTGCATTTTCTATTTCCGGGAGTTTAATGCCAGCGCAAACTTTTTAATCATGCTCACATTTTTTCACCATGCACATCCGGTGTACGTCGTGGCGGTAACGAACGCCATAAATATGTAAAAAGTCCGCATTTACAAATATCTTGCCGAACACTTTGAATATTAAATGCAAACTCATCGGGGATGGCGTGCAGCGAACGGTCACGCTGCTGCTCGGGGATTTTCAGCCGTGAATCTCGACCAAAGTGTTGACCACACGCCCGAAAGCTGATGAAAACGAGCTTTCGCAGTGAAACATTTATTTTCACGATGCACATTTGCTCTCCCGAAACCTAACCTAGATTCTCCACTCTCAAGAGAGTCTAAAGTTATATTTGAACACTCAAAATGTAATAATTATTACGGCGTCAAGTGCGGTCGTGTCACGTTGACAGTTTGGCGGTTGCAACAATATTTGCACACACATCCGTAGACGAATTTCACGCAAATACAATGCAAACATATTCCTTCGTTTCCCGTGCATCACCCGACAAACACCGGTTGACGGCTGCATCGCCAGCGCTACCTCGCGGCGACAATGTATCAAGTGTGTTGTATACACATGCAAACAACTCTTCACTTCACCTCTCTCCCCACGTCTTGGTTTAGTGCATGTCGGACACGTGTATTTGGTGTGTGTATAAGTAGGCAACCAGGCGTGCGCGTTATGCATACATCGCGTACGGATGGTTGCTCTCGAAAACCGCAACAATGCGCGTTCGCCGACAAACAACTCAACAACTCTCTGCGCGTCGCGCGTATATGCAAACCAGCGAGCGCTATTCCACGCCGCACTTCGCCGATTCTCCAATTGCAAATTCCGGCTAACCGCAGGACGAGCTGTGCGCATCGCACCGCGTCGCAAGTGAGCGAATCTTATTCTATTGTGTGGAATGCCGGGCGAGTCTTTTGATGCTTTTGTGCTGATTGCCATGCGACGTGTTGGTGCATCCTGCGCGGCGTTGCTTTGAGGTTAGATCCCGCGGTGCGCGCATACATCCGTGAACTTCCGCTTGATTTCAAACTAGATAAATTAATTTCCTAACACAAGTTTTCCTAGCATTTTATTTTCGCACGTTTTAAACATTTATTTACGTTTGGCAATCGATCAACTAACAAAGGCTTAGTATTTGTGTTGTGCTCGTTGTGGCAAGGACCAATAAAGCGAGGCGATTGATTGGTGTTGCGGCGTTTTTATGGGCCGTGAAAAGCAAAAGCAATTCGCAACCAAACGGAAAAAGAAACGCCGAAAATAAACATGGAAAAGCACGAAAACGCTTGAAAAGGACGAAGACATTACCACAACACAAACGGACAAAAACTATTAGGAGCTTAAAAGTGTTTTAAGTGATGAAAATCCATCAAAAGAAAAAAGTTAAAAAAATAAAATTTTGTAAATCTTGTTAGTAAAGATTTTTTTACGGAGATACCTGACTTGTTTGCATCCAATGCATTTTTCCAGGAAGCAACGTTTTAATTAAAAATTCATTTGTGCGATGCTCCGGGCCAGGGCTTACAGTTAGATACAAGTTGCTACATTGCTACCTGTCTGCGCAACCTGATTACAAGATTAATTTAATAACAATAGGACGGCGTCACGTCCAAACCAGATTGTCCTAGTTGCACACAAAAAACACCATGCAATTTTTAACTCTATACAACCCAAAACAAATTTTAGTGTATTTTGGGTTGCCTATATATCACAAGTCACTCATAGTGTTTAAATACTTACAATTTGTTTAAGTGTAAAGCAATTAATGTTGTGATAATTGAAAGCTTTCAAAAATAAGTTCCCGGAATGAAAAATTACCGCCGGAGGAAAAACTAGCGCAAAAAATCACCCATCCTGAACAAGAAAGAGGTGGAAGGGACGTCGGGACGTCAGAAACAAATAAATAATGCGGCGTCGGGCCCGAAACGCATGTTGTCCGGGGGACGATAAATAATGAAGTGTTTGCTTCTTTCGACTCGGCGTCCTTTTTCGAGTGCGATACTCCACAACTCCCACAACGGCGCTTGTTGTGTAGGGCAGGAAAAGGGTGCGAGAGAATGGCAAACGTGCGTATTATGTTTCGCGCCGTTTCGGCCGTGCAACGAGTGCAAGGAACAGAGTCGCGGTGTGTATAAATGAATTTTGTATGTGACCATAATTTTCGCCTTTGATTTATTGCTCGAAATTTCGACTTCACGTGCAGAAAGTTTTCTCATCCCACGGAGCAGGAAGTCCTAATTTTATTAACCTCAGAAACGTATTATAATAACAAATCAATAAAAAAATTTAATTTTTTTCAGTTAAATACAAATATTTTATATTTTGCTCCGCCTATTTTTATGTTTAGGCTATTAATAGGCGTGGCTTAAAATTTTT